TCCTCAGAAGAGTTAAGAAGCACAGCAAAAGCATGGAGGTCATGCAACTTTATCACCTCTAGTTCTAGAGCTACCGCAGCAATCTAAACATGGTGTTGTACTGTGTAGCTATCTTGCGTAAGTGCAGTTACTAGATCGGCCTATAATCCTTATACCAAGTATGGAGGTGGAGCAAAGTATAGATATAGATGCTATTTATAGAAATGCTTTTTAAAAGGAGTAAAGAACTAAAAGAAGAGCTACTTGGTGCAAGAAAATTAAATTTTGAGATGACATACTGCACAAGTTCTGTTCCTGCTCATGAGACTTGACTTTTTTTCCCTCTCTGCTGAGCAATTAAATGCTAGCAACAGAAAGCTAAAAATATAAAACTGATTAGTAAGTAATTTACAAAAAAAAATTAAGTCAACTTCACTGGGGAACTTTCATTCCCAGTATATCTAATACTATTTATAATTCCAGGTAATGTAATATTATCTAGTATTCTTATTTTATCCACAACTATATGACATATTTAAAACAATTCTTATACTGTTAGAACCAATACAACTCCTTTTCTACTGCAGAACTAGCATTCACATTTCATTAAGTATCGTTTAAGTAAACTGTCATGCTGTCACTGAATTTGAAAAGGCTTTTGAACATACAGACGTTTAAGAGATATCTAAGAAGAGTGCATTTTGACATGGACATCAAAAACTGAGCGCCTTGGTGAATAACGTTTTTCAAGTGCTTTAAAGCGGATAGCACCTTTTCAGAGCAAGGACTCTTGTAGCTTTTCTGCACCACTTACACACCTCATCGCAGTCGCTCACAGTCACGGGGGAAGAGGAAGAGGTGACAATTCTGCAGGGCCACAGAGCCAGTCTGTAGACTGGCTTGCTATAGATGCTTAAGAGGAAAGGGCACGCAACACCTCCTTGTCCAAAGCCACTGGCAAGGAAGCCTTCCAAGGACGCAGTGAAAACCTGGCTGCGTAGGAGGTAGGAGCTGTGGTTCTCTCTGCCCCCAGGTCACTGGTTGATGTGAAGACTTTGTCTCGCTAACTCTTGAAAACTAAAGAATGTCATTTACCACGGGTTAGTGTTTTTAGATTACCCCATGCATCAGGAGTCAAAGAAAGTTTCCCCTATCAGTTTCTAGAAGCCTTAGGCAACAATGGGAAGCCTATTGCTGTGGCTGAACCTTTTCTCCCTGTAAAATACTGCAAATATAATAACTAGGAACTCCTAAAATACTGAATACCACATCAAGATAGAACAGTATTGGGCTGAGTGAACTACTGCAAGAATCTAAACTCCAAAGGAAGTTGCACTAGAATTTTATTAACCCTTAATGCAAATTAAATCAAAATGTATATTAGTTAACACTACTTGTATGCCAGATCAAGTGAAATATTAATACTGTATTTTCTATGAAAATATGGCAAAGTAAGCTGTCTATAATCAGGCAAATGCAGAGAAATCTGAAAGATCCAGGTTAGAACTACAGATAAAATACTGTAAAATCATTCAAAAAAGATGTTAGTTGCAGTGAATATCATTTGCCACATGTAAAAATAACCTGACATCTTTTAAACTTCTGTGATTGAAACTGTATACATACCATTATTTTCCAGCTTACACTTTTATGAATTTTGGTACCGTATCCTAATCAAAGCTAGCATTTTCTCTTGCTGTGAGTGGTAACAACGACACGACCTTGGCTACCACAGCCAAGTGCCTTGCCAAACACAGCTAAGTGCCTTGCCAGTACAGTACTACAGCCTGAGCACTGCTCTGACACATTAAACCATCTGCATCTTATACCTACCGCTTTATAATGCTATAATCGTCAGACATTATAACCAAAGATCAGGGGGAATCTGTAGCTGAGAAGCCTCGAAAGTTTTGCAAGCAATGGTATTAAGTATTGCTTTCTCCAAATCCCACAGAACAATTCCAGAGGACATTTGCTAGAGTTATTACTGCTCATTTGGGATATAGAATAAGCTCCTGTCACTCACTGACATTAAAAAGCGCATGGGGGTCTGGAAGATGAGAGACATGGACTGTAGGCTCATAACCCAATCCAAGCAGAGTCCCATGCTACCTAGCTAGAAGTTTTGTTGCTTTCACTTCTCATCCTAAACTTTTTTCCCTCCAGATAGTCTAGCTCTCCATGCATTTTCCCATGCGGGGTTTAAGGAAAAGCTGTCAACCTGGAACGCATGTACTTACTCCACAAGTGTTTCTTGTAATGAACCAAAGAACAAAGACTTGTCCCACTAGATATGTACAAATCAGGATTTCAACCCAGCTCTCCTGTAGCTTGGCCAAGAATCCACAACCACAAGAAAGTTTATACTTTAATCTCAGTTCAATCAGGATTTTTGAAGATGAAGGAGAGTGTTACTTGGATATAGAAAAAAAGTTTCTTTTGCGCCAAGCTTGCAGTGACTAGAAATGGACAAGTTTAAGCTGGCTAACTAAAAATTAAAGGAAAACCAAAATCTCTTCCCTCCATCCCTGCCCCTACCTTTTAAAAGTTGCTGTTTAGCTCTAGATTTATTTATTTTTAGTTGATCAAAGTAGAGTTCTAATTAAAACTATAACAAGCTAACAATTTCTAAATAGTCATACAAAGATTGATTAAAATAAAGTGATATTACTCACTGACAAATTAATCCCCCTACACTAAAATTTGTACTAATGCTATTTTAAAATAAAACATTTACTTTGCCAACTTTAATTCAAAGAGCTAGAGGATACAACTTCTCAGTATTTGCAATGTCTGTAACTGCTATGCATGAACGAAAGCGTGACCTAAAGGCTGAATGACAGGAACGGGGTGAGGAGATCCTGGCATTATTGCCGGCATTGCCTCTGACTGACCAGGGGATCCGGACCACGCCAGATGGAGGCCTTTGCCTCCATCTCTCCAGCTGCAAAAAGAGAGGTGTACTTTACCTGCTGGCTACCTACTGACTCACAACCACTAGTGAGACATTTTCCTCCAGCTCACAGGGCAAATTTACCCTGCCTAGCACAGTCAGCCTTCACAATCACAGGCCCTTTCCAAAGCTACTTTGAATAAAGGTAACTCTCTTGTAAAACCCAAAAAAATCCTCTAAGTAGTCTACATATACACTACAGATAAAGCATATATTCTTGAAAATATTCCTCCTTACCATCCTTTCCACCAGCTGCAGTTCTCTGCATCTCATTTCACAGTAAATTTAGGCAGGACTTACACACATTTCCAGTGGTGATTGCCAGTTATTACTGCACTCATGAAGATGGGTGTTTTCCTCTGTCAGAAACAGACTCTGAGGTATTACCTGTACGAAATGACCCCAGGTCTCTCTACCAAACCCCCCCCCCACCCAAACCTAAATCATACTAGTGTTTTGAGTGGTGTGGCTTGACTAAGCTATTTTCCAAAATTCAGGCCAAAAGAGCTGCTGAAGTACAGCTGCACAGCATCTTCCCATACTGCAGACAACGCCTGAGGCCAGCCAGCCAGATTTAGAGCAGTGCTACAGAGCTTCAAAGGGAAGCCTGCCAGGCAGAGAGAAGACAGGACTAGTCAATTTGACAACTGAATTGAAGCAGTGGGGGAGCAGCCATAAGAAAGGATGGAGGAGGAAGGGGCACGGAAAGAACAGGAAGAGAATTGGAACAGGGGGACAGGAGGGCCAAAGGTAACATATATATGTATGAGAGGAATTTAGACACTCACAACAGAGAAGCAGGACAGAAATTAAACAGATAAAATACAAAAACAAAACAAATGTCAGAGAGCAACTAGAGAAAAAAAAAAGCTAGAAATAGCATCTCTTAATAGGCGGAGAACTAGTGCCTTTGACTCTTATTCGAAGCCTGGGAAGGGTAGAGCTAACAAGTCTCTAAACTATTTTGATGAAAGAAAGTGTACAAATAAAGGCAGTGAAAGAAAGTTAAAAAGGCTTTGAAAACATGCTCAGTTGCATCCATTTGTAAAAGTTTTCTCAGGGGAAAAAAATGTATTTGTTTCTTCCACTCCAGATAACTCTGTTTCTTCATCCTGGCTGCTTTTCTTTCCCTGTTTCTGACATCTTCTCATCCTCTCCTAAAAATTCAGTAGGGTTAAGCATCAGACAAAAATCTCTCTGAATGGGTCAAATTAAGCACATTCTTAAACAAGCCCCTACAAAACAAAACTCTTTTCTTTTGCAAAGTGCCACACTAGTTACTTTCTCACAAGGAGAAAGAGTGGCCAACTGAGCTGGCTTCTCATATCACAGTAGCAACATTGCAGTTAGCTACCACAGTCTTCACTTCAGCCTTGTGCCATAGTCGTGCTCCCTCCCTGCTGGAGGTCGCACAGCAGTGGCTTCAGAAATGCTTTCTTGCTTCCAGAACTGTGCAGCTGGGAAGCCCCATCCCACCAGGGCAAAAAGCAAACAACTTCTTCTCTCAGGAGGGCTCAAAGAAACAGTGATAGAGCTGTTCAGCACCCTTCTGGGCAACAGGCTGTGTTTTATGAGGAGTGGAACAAGCCCAAAAGGCTCTGCTTTCCACATCTGGACTTCCAACCTTCCAAGGAGGCATTACATCTTCAGAGATAAGTTTATTGCTTCAGACTCGAGAGATGCAGGCTGGCATCGCTGCGCCAGTTGTTTAGATGCCGAAAGAAAACAGATACGGGGAGAAGGTTGCATGAGGAGCGTCCAGTGTAACTGCCCAATTTGATTTTGAAGGTAAGGCCCGAGACCTATCTCATCTATACTGATCTGCCCAGCAGTGCTGGCCTGTGCCCCAACACATAAGCCAAAGCTCAGTGATGAAGCCAAGTGTCAGCACCATGCCCCATCTCTGTAAACCAGCAGCTAAGCCCTTCCCATGAACTAGTGCGCTCCTGGTGCGATGGCTCAGTTACTGCCTATGCCTTAATCTAAGGCAAGGAAGCTACTGCCTATGCCTTAATCTAAGGTATGGTACTAGTAGGTACCCTCAAGTTTACAAACCAGAATAACCTTCTGGTTATGTTGCACATGTCAGAGTTGCAAGGAATTTGAGAATTCAAGCTGTTCAGCCTCCTCTGCCAATATCACCACTAGGGCTAAGACAGTGCAAGCAGAAACAGCATGCAAACATTTTGGTTTGGACAGCCACATCATCCTCAGAGCTGTAGAAACAGACGAGAGGGCATCAAACAGGTACAAACAAGCCCAAGCTGTAACAATAGCTGCTACTGTTGAGTTTTCTCTCAACTTTTCCACAGCTATATTCGTCTGGAAATCCTAAAAAAGGAGACAGTAACACTTTTCTTCAGCTACTTTTCTGATTGCCATTGTGCTTCTAACTATCAAGCTGAGGCCCCTCTCTCTATCCTCCAAACATCCTCATTACCAGCTCTCCCAGATGAGATGCGACGCTTCCCTGACTTCCCCCTTAGAGCCAGCTCATTCTGAAACCGGCAGTCTCTGCTCTGCCACCTCTGCCTGTTTCCTGCAAATCATTCACTCGATTCTACCCCCATTCCCTTTGACAGCACCAAATCTGTGCTCATGACCCAGTCCAGCTTCCCATGGCTGGCTGCAGGCTCCAAAATGCGGTTGTCTGTGGCCAAAGAATGGCATGAAGCACGGAAGTAAGATAAGGCACAAGCCCTTTGGCATGACTGAGCCATCACTCCCAGCGACAGGAAGATGCCGGCTCCCTCTCTCATCCGTCTGGCCAATGCTCAGAAGAAGTCTGAGATGAAAGCAAAAATTTTCATACTTCCCCTCTCACTACATCTCCGATTCTCTGTCTTTGTTGTTATAGAGTAAAAAATGTCTACAATTCCCCATCCTGCCATTTGTTTGCACTCCTTCCACATGCTTTCTTTGCAGTTCAGTCCTTATTTCTTGTTTTATTTTTAC